GCCAACGTGCTGCGACCAGGGAACTGTCTCCAATCCCAAAACCAAAACTGAACTTGGCCTGATGGCCTTTCACTTTCACTTTTACTTTACTTTTTGCTTGTGCAACTTTACTTGCGGTGATACACAGATGCGTGTTATGCAAAATTGTTATCCTGCTTAGTGCCGTGTGTGAGTATACGCGGGTTATGATGTTGAGTGCTTGCTGTTTGATCTTACTGTTTTTCTCCTTCCTGTGGTGTTCTTGGAGATATATCGGCGCCTACTTTTTTGTCCCACGATTTGCCTCCATGAATTTGTGGCATGTTTTCTTGGAATTTGCTTGTTGGACATTTGCACACTTACACTTGACTTTGATTGCTGTGCTTGTATGTTTGCCAGCTACTGGCTTTTGCAGACATCTGTGCACAGACCCATGCAGCCATGTCGTGGCCACATTCGCATTATGGCCACTTTGGGACTGGATCTTTGAATCCTGGTTGGGCTGGCGCTGCTGCACACCAACATCTTGGCATGCACACTGCTCCTTTCCAAGCTCCTGTGCCTGGACCACCTCCTCCAGAGGCCCCGCCTGGGCTTTTGTCAACCTTCTGTAAGGCGGGGGCGGTCTAGATCGCGATCACTCCGCGGGAGGCGTGCATCTCACAGGCTTCCGCAGGCCAAGGACTTGAAAGGTGACATGGGAAAAGACGAGTTCAACAAGTACGTCTTGGAATGTTTGCCCTTGCTTTCTCCCGAAGACTTTGCCGACATTTGGGTTGGCATTCCCCGTGAGCTTCGGGCAGTAGCATGGCGCCCCCCACCGGGCATCATTGTGGACATTGATTCTTTGAAGGGCGTTGACCGCATCCAGATGTGTTCCAAATTGAATGCCTTGAGACGGGAGAGATGCATCCAGCTGGCTTCTCCAAGGCAGCAGTCACACTTTGAGGACGAGAATTGGACCATCACTCCCATGTCGAGGCTTTGTTGTTCACGTTTTTGGGAGTGTTTTCGTTTGCTGCCGCTGACTACCACGAATGAATCCAAGTGGACGGCAACTGTGAAGTACCTTTCCAAATGCCCAGAGAAAGCCGATTCCTCGGATACCTCACGGCACATTGATGCCAGCACTCGTGCCTCGGATTCACTTGGTGAAGCTGTTGCTCCTGACCGTGTGCCGGGGCCCAAGTTGGCAACTCCAAAGAAAGGCCTGGCAGGATTATCTGCTTTGGCTGATGCTACTCCACTGAAAGCTGGATTGGACGCCCCTCCGGCCGACCGTAACAGTGAGGAGTTCGCAACTTGGGTTTCTGCTAGGATTCAGGCTGATGTGGATGGTTTATCTTTGGATTCATTAGAGGTGAAGCATGCAAACCGATTTCCTTGCAAGTTGAAGCCCAGTGCTGCTTTGAAGACCCTTCCTCCTTTGGACGTCATGAGCCCCATTTACCAGCACACATTTCAGTTCTACTTGCGCAAGTTCAAGGCTTTGCTGACGGATGTGAGCCTCGGATCGGCCCCAGCTAAGTCCTTGAAGCGCTTATGCGATGCATTGAACTTGGAGGTGCGGGGCAAAGACAGTCAAGTTTCAGAAGTGCTCGCCCGATTGCGGGCCACAGACATGGTACAATGTCCCCCGTGTTGGGGTGAATGTGAGGACCAGGAGCACATAGCTTCGGCTTGTGGCGCTGCCCTGTGCTTGCTTGCACTGTTGCGATTTTGGTTCCTGGGACTCACTAAGGGAAAGATGGAAGCTGAGGAGATTATACTTCGCATCTGTGCCAGTGTATGGCTCTGCATGCGCCAAGCGCAGTCATCCCGCAGGTCTTTACACCTGCTTAGATCTTTGGGTGGCTTGCCTTGGAGTTTTTCATGGGAAACTTTGTGGCATGGCTCTGTCATCTATGTGTGTGTGTCCCGATGTTCCCACAATACTCTTCTTTTGGTCCCCTCGCCTACGTCGGTGAGACAGACAATTTTGCCAGACGTGTGAATGAGCATTCTTGTCGATTGCTTGTTCCCAATGGCGCTGTACAGCAACCCTTTTTCCATTTTGTGAGAGCGGGAGAGTGTGCTCCCCACCTCATGAGGCTGGCAATTTGTGAGTGGATCTTTTTTTCCGGTTGTCCCCGCACCTGGTGATGGTTGTGCGCGGAGAGCATTAGAGGCAGACTGGATTCGGAAGATCGGTGTATTGAACCCACCTCGGGTGCACCGCTTGCTTCGGAGCAATGGTGTGACTAGCAGGAGTTCACTGGTCTTTGGGAGAAACCGCCTGGTTTGCAGACTGAGGGCTAAGACGTTTCCTTCTCCGCAAATTGTGTGCGGGCAGAAGCTTGCTCATGATGCTTGGAAACAAGGGTTGCAGCGAACCGCTGCTGCGCTTGCAGGACATCGTTTTCCTGGCTGTGGACTGTGTGCTTTGGCTGCTTGGAGGTTGTCGAGGTCAGCTTGGGTGTATGTAGTGCAGCGTGTCACCAACAACGAGTCAGGGTGGCGCCGAGCACGGGCCTTGCGCATGTTGCGTCGGATTGCTGGCATTCGAAGAGACTTGCCATCCCCCATCGCTGTCATTTCTTGTGACATTCCCTGGGTTGGGTCGCAGCAAGCTCGCAATTTGGCCGTGCACGCGGTGCGTTCTTTGGTGGCCTCATGGCGCAGGGCGGGTCATTGGTTACCTACTTTGAGGCATGCGCGGATTCGTTTCCGGTGGGCAACTACGCCCTCTCTTGGTAGCGTTCTTTGCAGCCGTGACTTCTTTGCAGACTTTGCAATGGTGAGGCCGCCTTGTGTTTGTCGGGAGTTCCTGCTGGCAGACCCCACCTGGCCCACGGTGACCGTGGATGGTCAAGTGCACATTGCTGCATCCCAGGCTCGGATTCCATGGCCACGGCACTTGCGGAAGTTCAGAGAATTACCAGCCAACTTGCGTTTGCCACCGAGGCGGCAGCAGATCGCAGTTGCTGTGAAGCAAATGCTTCGTCGACTGCGGGACCGTTGCAAGCTGGCGGATGAGCCATGTTGGGTCGAATCCGTTGTTGCCGATTTGACTGCAGCTTTGCAAGGGCTAGCTGCTCAGCACTCTACCAGATTTCCTGTTTCGTGGCTGGAGATTTCACTGGCCCGGGAATTCCTCAGGCCTTTCTTCACGCAGGTCTTTGACCACAACCTGTCCCGTATTGGTGTGTTTTGTCCTGCCCTAGTACACGTCCAAGCTTGTGCAGCTCTTGATCTTGGTGATCATGGCACGGGGCTGGATTTTGCTTGGGAAGCTGATACGCGGAGGGCTGAAGTGATGGCTACCATGGCAAAGATTGAGGGCCTCCCGCCGCACTTGCAACCAACGCGGCTGTCCTTGGTACCAGCCAGATCTTGGTCTATCGGAACTCCCGTTTTTCTTCCAAAGTGGAAGGGTCCAGGAGTGAAGTGGCGCCTGATAGTGAACAAGCACCACGCGCCGGCGACTGGTTTGCACTCGGCTGTATCTAGAGCCATTGATGTTCTGGACAATATGCCCGCGAGGCTTGGTCCGATTTTCCATCAGCCAATGCCTTCTTGGGCATGGTCTCGGACTTCAACGCTCTTGTGAAGAGCATGTTCATGGAGCCGCGTGGGTGGATTGCAGCGATGGACATGGTTGATTGTTTCCACCACCTTCCTTGCTCCGAAGCGCCGTCTATTTGGGATGCTCTTTCTGCCTTTTGGAGCGCCCGACATGTGGCTTACATCAGTGTGCCTTTACGAAGGGGCGGTGGTGCTGGTCTCCTTGGTCTGGTCTGTGACGCTGGCTGGGTTTGCTTTTCCTTTGCAGAGATTCGGGAGGTGTTGATGCACTTTACCTTGACCAACTTTGTGGCTCTGCCCGGCCTCCTCGGGCGTGAGCTGCGTGGGGCTCCAATGGGCGATGCTTTGAGTGGGGCAGTGCTGCGGCTCTTCAAGTGGAGTAGGGAGGCTGCGCAACTACCTGTTGAGGAGGCAGACACTGTTTGTTTCCGCAGGTCCTGCTCCCAGCTGGTCCATCTCTGTGGTTGCAACATGTTGGTCCTTGACGTCAGTTTCCGGGACGACTTGCGCATGTTTTGCGTGTGGGACGGGCAAGCCATAATTGATAGGGAAAGGGTGGCGCAATGGGCTATCTCCAGGCTGCGCACACGATACCACTACGGCACCATGAGCTTGGAAGAGTGTGATTTTCGGACATTCATTGGTCTGCGGGCCTTTTTGTTGCCCCTGTCTTCCCTGACCCGTTCGGAAGCTGTAGTTACCACACGGTCGACTTGCGAATTTTGCAGCCATGGTCATCGTGGACCCCCCCGTTCACAAAAGACGGCGGTCATTAAGGGATGGCTGTGCCGCATCTTTCATTTGTCCAGCTGCTCCGAGGGCAGGGCTCTTGCCTTTGTAGAGGCTTTTTTGTCTTTATGTTCTTTGGCTGGATTCCCTAAAGACCTGCTTGCCAGGGTGACCAGAGATTGGATCCTTCGCCGGGTGTCCGCAAAGGATGCCCGTGCAGTACAGTGCGTAAGACTTGAGGTGGAGAGGGCATTGCGGCGATTGCGTTAAAAAGTTTGCCGTCACTCATTTCACTTGCTCTTACTTGCTGTTTCTTGCTGTGCACCCCTATGGGTGCTATGTGGGGGCGATCCAGTGCAGCATTGCTGGCTGGGTCACTGTAAGGTGCTGAACTCCCCTATGACACCTGCGTCCAGGTTGACATGCACAGTACAGGTCGAGGGGGCTGTGCATGCAGTGCCTTTGGTTCCTGGTAGGAATCTGCCTGTTTTGTACCTGTTTTGGTACTTGGTATTTGCTCTTCTGGCGTGCGTATGGAGTGATGGCGTTTGGTCGCGGTTTGTTGTGATCTCGGTGAGGTGATGGAGCTTGCGGTTCACATGATGTTTCGGCTTGCGACGCGTATACACTAATTCAATCCTTCCTTCCACCTTCTTCAGCTTGCTACATTTCATTCAGGTAAATCAAGAACATCGCCAGGCAACAATTCCAATCTTCCTTTGG